CTCCAAAAAAACTGTATATGCACACACACACACACACACTCACACACAAATATCTATAATTGCTTGGTGGAATTATGTTGGGGTGTTTAATAAATTAAAGTCGTAGAATGTAATTGTAGCCCTTTCATGATAAAATACATCTGTACACACTGGACCCATGCACATTCGTGGTTCAGCACCCGTAGATGTGTGTATTCAAATTTTTGTTTCCAATTGTTGCAAATTGTTTATTTGGGATTGCACCAAGCACAGGTGTAAACCCATTGCTTAGCAGTGCTTTTAGAAGAATTTTGTGAGGAGGGTGCTTTTTTTTTCCTCTCTAATGCATTTCAATGGGCGTCAGTTATATGCAATGTTTTGCTATTTACAGGCCTTTCTCCATGAATAGCAGGGGTCCGCTGTGTGGCTCTCTGAGATAAAAGCTTGGAATTATATTTGTTTTTTTTTCTTTTCCCCCCTTCCTGTGTGCACGTGTGTTTGGATTCAGCAATCATGGGTGTGTGAATGTCACCAATTGAAGCAGTTGTCCCACTTGGTAGTACAAAATTGGAATTGTCACTTGAACCATGCATTATAAATCCCCCCTTTAAAACATCCTGACTACATTAAACTTCTCCTTCACGAATCCTTGACACATTTGCCAGAAACACTGTCATTTTTAGAACAGATGGCAAGGACAAAAAAAAATCAGACGCCCACAATGTCCATCATACTGACTGGCCACTTTAACTCTTACAGCAGTGACAAACACTTGCTTTAATTTCAACAATCAATGACCTCTCCTCCACACTCCCATTCACAGGTTATTCTCATTCTTTCAAGCTGTTTTGTTGCCCTTTGCTCCTGTCCATGTTTGTCTATCCCTCCATGATTTCAATTTGGCAAGGTCATGTGGTCACGCGGCAAGTAGCACACTGCGTCATGCGCTCTGTTATCTGGCATCCTTCAAACTCATGTTTTCTTTCCCTTTTAACTTGTCATTCCTTATTTTTCCCTGGTTTTAATTAATTTTCCATTTCCTCTTGTCTTGTGTCCTCCGTCTCTGTGTGCTCCATGTTGTTGCTGTGCTTTAGACCTACCCAGATGTGGACAATGAAATATCTGTGAGTACCTCGTGTTAAAGCACCCCTTGCCCAAAAAGTGGCACGCTTTCCGTTACAATGCAAGGATGCATTGCATCTTGTATACATATAAAACACTGACATGCTACAGTTTCCCGCGACACTGCTCGGTTATTGTGCAGGAAATTCAGACAGATTTGGGACAACGCAAGCACCTTCCTTCATGACACACATTTATTATTTAAGCGTCTTGTTGTTCCTTTGGGCAAAGTCAGGTCTATACTTGCTGCTTTGTGTGATGGAGGCCTTGAAAGTGTGATGGAAAAGGCCTTGCTTGGATTGGTCTATTCCCGACCTGAGGGTGGTCATCTCAGTCGCTGTGCTTTGTTCTCTGTCAGCGGTCTGCCAGGTCCATTACACATGCACTTTGTCTCCCCCTACAGGTGCCCCTCAGGCTGATCGAGAGCGTGGAGAGCAGAGACATGGCCCAGCTGCACATTATCTGCAAAGACTCCAAAGTTGTCAGGTAAACAGAAGAATATATGGAGGACATTAGATGATGGGGAAATATTTTGGATCCCGTTGCCTTGTTATAAGACATCTCTTTTGGGTATTTATAGAATAATTGCTACTAAGTGCCTCTTGCTAACTTGCCACTTTCTATCAATTAATCAGATGTGCTAGTGATGTCGTTATCTGAAGGCTTCAATTTAAGTGGGTATGTGATACAATGAATATCAAACACTTGCCGGAGGCTTCACATTTCTTATGTATTGTAGGTGCCACTTCACCACATTCAAGCAGTGTCAGGAGTGGGTCAAGCGTCTGAGCAGGGCCATAGCTCACCCATCACGGCTCGAAGACCTCTTTGCCCTGGCCTATCATGCATGGTGTCTGGGAGGCAGTGCTGATGATGAGGATCAGCATGTTCATCTGTGTCGCCCAGGTCTGTACAAGCGCACACATTCAGACACATCGCAATCGTAAATGATAATGTTCTTTTTATAACGCGTTTAGACAATATGACCTTAGAAAGGGCTATTTTCCCCCCTGAAGTATGTGTCTTCAATTTGTCTGCAGGTGATCACGTGCGTCAGAGAATGGAGATGGAGGTTAAAAGAATGGGCTTTGACACGCAAAACATCTGGAGGGTATCATCCATTAATTGCAACTACAAGTATGTCACATATGTTGCATCCATAAATAGCATGTCATCTCTCATCGTGTTAAATAACAGCATGAGAGTTAAAATGAGTGGTTTGTTTCGCTATTTATGGACATTCAATGTTTGTGACTGCCGTGTGCTGTTCTGTAAAGGGGTCAATTTTTTTTTTTTTTGTATGATCCCGAAACATGATGTCTACTGTGATTAAATGTTTTCATTTTTTTATAATTCCCTGTGACAAGTTTAGCATCTTAGATTGCTAATATGGTGTTGACGTGATACAAAGTAAATGTGGATGTGCAAGCGAGCCCGCTGCTTAACTCCCCTTTATAAAACACAAGCAGTCAGGATGACTTCGACAGTTCAGCATTTTTTTTTTCTGTTACTTTTCGTCTTCTGTGAATGAATTAGTCCTGACAGTCACCACTTTCCAATCCATTCCCTCTGAGTGGCTTTTAAACTGGCTGCATTCATTCGGGAAGCCTGTCATTTGCTTCAGCGACAAGCAACATGCAATTCACCTCACATCGTTTGCTTACAGTATCATGGCTATGACTGTGGGAGTGGAGGCAAGATGGTCCCTTAAACTATTTGTGACTGTATCCACTTGTTGGACTCGTCTAGCCTGCTTATGACAAAAGCATTGCTGAGTTGCCACCTTTAACCAAGTCTAGTCTTTAACACACATACATAAATGTCATTCCTATATGCGGCAATTAAAATAAAACGGTTTGAGTGTAACAGTACAAGAATGCCACATCACCGTAAGAGAGACCATATTATATTCATCTCCTCAGGCATGTACAGTGTCTTTATACAAACAGGACAATGTGTGAATTAAACAAGCCATGGCTTGCTGAGCCACATGATTCAGCACAGTGTTTGAGTGTCTCTTCCCTCCCCCTCTGACAGCTTTAACTGGTGATTTAACATTTATTAAAAAAGTAAACTTTTGGCAACAAAATATGTTAATGGAAATGCATGTTTTTCTGCTGTTTCTTTTTTTTCCCCCCCTTGAGTTTAATCACAAGTGGCTGCCCACTCAAGCTCTTTTGTTGTATAATATGAAGTTTCAAACTACATTTTGTGTCTTCAGGCTGTGCTCCAGTTACCCACAGAAGTTTCTCGTTCCAATATGGATAACTGACAAAGAGCTAGAGAGTGTGGCTTCCTTCAGATCCTGGAAGAGGATTCCCGTAGTGGTCTACAGGTCAGTTAGTTAATCTGCGATTTACGTTTTCAGGGACCATGATTTTATGACCCCAATCTTGATTTGCAGACACCAGAAGAACGGGGCAGTGATTGCACGCTGCAGCCAGCCTGAGATCAGCTGGTGGGGCTGGAGAAATACAGATGATGAGTACCTGGTGACATCCATTGCCAAAGCTTGTCAAATGGATTCAGGAGCCAAGGGTACTTGTGGTGCACCTGCCTGCCAGCCACGTGGAGAAGCGCCCGACTCATCTGACAGTGATTTTGGTAAAGTGTCATTATTTACAGCTGTATATTCTGCCAACCCAGCATGATTTGACTATTTTATTTGACAAGAAGGCAAACCCGCGCCACAATCAATTCATTCAGTGATTATTCAACAAGCTAGTTTGTTTATATTTCCATACATATACCAGACAGAAGCGTGAGGAAGATTCTCAATATTTAACCATTATTGAAACAGCTTATCCTCATGAGGGTCAGAGGCGTGAGTAATTTAAAAGCAGCCTCAATTTATACCAACTAGTAATTGATTAAATGCATTATTCAATGTGTATATACTGTTGTGATTGTATTTATTTTGCATTTAATTTTATTAGCTGGGGGGTTTATTTCTGCTGGCCAACAGTTTATATGGTCAACCTGATCTCCACCCCCCACCCCCTTAACTCGTTCCCAGCAATCATTCCCAACAGCACACATGAATTTTCAGTATTCTCCTAAATGTCCCCTGCGACTTCCTTGTTCTCCCTTCCTCTGACTGCCGATTGCATCCAATAACACCGTCTGCTAATAATAACGCAAATGGTGTCTTTGTCTTGTGTCATCAGACTCTTCACTGACCGGTAGCTCAGGCTGTGATGACAACACTGTGCGACAGAAGCTGCTGATTCTGGATGCTCGCTCGTACACTGCTGCAGTGGCCAACCGTGCAAAAGGTGGAGGCTGTGAGTGTGAAGGTTAGTGCTATTAATTGATCAAATTACTCACTGTGCCTGCCACATTCAGCACCGCGATTGTTAAAAGGGGGACATGTCACTGTTCAGGTGGCCTCTAAGAAATAAAACGCAGTCCAATCAAGGAAGCTGTTGTCTTTAATTTGATTATTATTTTTAAGTTGTTATTAAGCAATAACAAACATAATCACTAAGTTTCAAGTGTCAAATTTTGACCTTTAAATATCTAGTAACTCTCTCTAGTACAGAGTAAAAAAATTAAATAATAATTGAACTTGACCCTTTCTTTCTCTGTCAGTGTGCAGAAAAACTAAACACTTTCGCAGATTTCCTTAAGATTGTGGCATGCGTTAAGTGTAGGTCGATTTCTAATTTGTTTCAGTCAAGTAGTTAGGCTCTACTGCAGGGGTGTCAAAGTCAAATGGACGGAGGGCCAGATAAAAATTTTTGCTGCAAGCCGAGGGCCGGACTGATCGAATGTTCATTGAAAATTTTAAAAATAACCACATATTGTTTATTGAACCAAATTTAATTGACCGAAAACCTAACAAATACATTCCAATACGGTCAGATAAATAAAGCAACATTTTTTTATGGCTATGTCAGTAAACTTTAATTTTCAACAGGCACAAAAAAATTTCCTTTGTATAAAAATACCGATAACATGAATGAAAGAAGCCGATATTATTCAAGGCACTATCACTAG